TCAGCCTGAAGGGGCATCTCCATTCGCAGGCATAATCCCGCACTCTCACACGCTCTATGTGTGTTTTGGTACCTATCTCATCTCAAATTGGATTTTCCGTCGCACACAAGATGGTCCTCTTCGAGAGGGCGACCTTCCTGGTCATTGCCCACGCCACACATGCGGCCCACTCAGACGTGCATCGCTTCGAGAAGATCTCCAACATTATCAAGCAATTCAAGCTCAGGTAAAGACCGAACAGAGGCGGGAATTGTGGGACAAAAGAGGCCTCGGTGCGGCACGCGTGTCGTTCCAGACAACCTAAAATGCGTCACCCATCCCCTTTGGAATCTTTTTGTCCTCTTCACTTATTTGTTCACTTTATTCATCGCATGCTGCATGCTAAATTTTATCTTCTTCGCTCGCGCACGAAAGCTGCGGCAAAACGCAGGCTCAGTTTCACGGCATGGAAGTGGGGAACTCTGCATTCACGGCTTACATAGATCTCTTCACGAGTAACACCTACATCATGGTCATTCTCTCCGACTCGCGCATCCATACTTCTACCACTCAAATAAATGTGAAGGCGGCTCGGGCAGCTTTCGAGGCATTTGTGCCGTAGAGAGAGGGGAACTTCCATACTTGTAAATAAGGCGTACATGTAACCCAGAACTGGACCCTAAAAAACTGAATCATCCAGCGACAGGAAGACCGTGCGACTTGAAACTATTGGTTTGTTTCTATTTCTCTTGTTTCAATTATTTGGGACCGGACAGGGGACCTCTATGTTGTGTTAGGCCGTCTGCACTGTGCGAACCGCTCGAAGCCTCTCCCCATGAAAGCTCTTTATCAGATCACAAAGCCAAACTGACACGGCATTTACCCCTTGGTGGTATGTAGCGTAGAATTTCTCTACGACTGCTGCCAAAGCTGCTTGGCATCAAGAAGGTTCTCTTTCTTCGGGCTCAAGGAGCATCACTTTCTGCAATATGCTATCTCTATATCTCTATCCCCAGCCCCGACGACGTGCGCTCGCATCCCGGTAGGCCACGTTTGGAAAGACTGAACAACAGATAAAGTAACACACTCAAGACACAAGAGTACTCTTTGTCCGCATGGAAGGCTTATGGCACACAGACTGCACCATTGTCGCAGGTCGGCACTCCCTCCCTTCTCCTTTAGGGCTGCCCTATCATCCGATTCGCCGATGCGAAGTGGGCGAGCAGGACGCGTGTTTTCTTTCTGTCTGTCTCGTAGGTAGTTTTTTACGCACGCATGGAATTTTTTTACCCCTTAACAAGGCACGGAGGGATGCCGGAGGCTGCCGATGGAGATGAGGAGCCTGATGCGTCGTGTGGTGAGCAAGAGAAAAAGGGCCGACTGCAGCATCCGCAGCAACAGCATCCAGAGCAGCCGGGGCAGCTATCGCAACAAAGTTTCCCAAACATTTTTTTAACGACTGCAGCGGCGGACGCTCTACGAAGTCGAATACGGGGCGAACTCCAAAATCTACGACTGTGGCTTTTAGCCCACCAAGGATGGAAAGAGCTGAACGGAAAGCTGGTACCTCGCGAGGAAACTGGTTCAGGACTTGGGGACAGGAAGCCACTCGATCTTCGAGGCCTGTACGAGTACATGCGCAGTCATTTGGAGTTGTTCCTTAACTTCCTAGACTTTTTCTACGAATCGCAAGGCCACATTCTCACCCCCGCGGCCATTCAACTCCAGAAGGCCAAGCGGGAGGCCGAAGCGAGCGATCCCCCGTCTCGGACGGGTCGGAGCGAACCGGCGAATGCTGCCAAGCACGTGCAAAAAACAACCCACCGTATTGCTGACGAGGACCACATTGAGACAAAAGTACCGGCAGCAAGGCAGTGGAAGATAAAAGCCGCATCGGCGTCGGTCCCCAGGCTAGCCAAGAAAGAGGAAACTCACGCCGCGACAGCCGGTCAGTGTCGAGGAGGAGCGAAAGCCTGGACTCCCGCCCAGAGCGTTGCGAAACCTGACCAGGATTCTCAAGAAGCTTTGCTTTGGTTAGATGCTTATATTCCCAGCGCCCTGGGTGTGCGTTTGGAAGACATTGCCTCCGACTCGGAGCTTGAAGAGTATTTCAATATTGTCTCGAATGCCTGGAGTCAGTTTTACCGGCGACTGATCCATGCCGACCGGCGGATAGGCCAGCGGCAGAAGATTTTTTTTAAGTACGGGAAAACGGCGGCTGAAATGGTCTATTTCGATACCATGTTGGCGTTTCTGAAGTGGTTGCTGGACCCTGTCGGCCATCCCAAGCGGAAACGCGACCAGGACAAGGCGGCGACCCCTGAAGAGAGGGAGACGCTGGTGGTGCCGGCGGAAGAGCTTTTGGAACGGCGAAATTTGATATTAGATCACCTGCACGAAGTCAAAGCAGCGGGATTCAGCGACAAGATCCGGGAGGCCATGGCGAGGAGGATGCCTGCGCCCCCTGCCATCCGACCCGACAGGCCCGTGGTTGAAGAGGATGGGAAGGGCCGCTCGACGGCTGAGGCGGAACCAGCTCCTCATTCGACCGCCCCCGTTGCTCAGCCGAAAGCCAAGAAAAGTGCCAGTGTGCGAAGCTCCGGCACGGGCGCGGACTCAACCAAAGCAGGGACGCCTCCCTCGGTCCCTCCGGGGCGCACGGCCAAGGCGGCGGCCGTTCCTGCTTGTCCTGCACGCGCTCGGGCCACAGCCAAACGGATGCGGCCAAGACCAGCGGCGGCTGCGGCGTCTTCGGCGGAAGGGGCGGCCTTTGCCCAGACTTGCTTGGGCTCTGAGCGCTTTTTCAAGAAACGTATGCCAGGGAGTAGGGGGCAGGCGGGTTTGGAGGCCCCCGTGGCACTCCTGAACCACGCGCGAAATTTAGAAATACCTACAGTGCAAGAGATTCGCTCGATCGTCAGCTCGCTGGTGTCTTCACATGTGGACGAGCAGAAGACCTTGGAGAGCCGGTACGACCTACTGTTCCCTGCGTGGGTGGACGACTTGCTCGCTGGTTTCAATTTGCTCTTGTACGGTGTGGGCTCGAAGCGTGCAGTGCTTGAGCGCTTAACAGAACAGCTTCGAAAGGAAGGTACCGTGGTGGTGGTGGATGGTATGGACCCGCGGGCGGGCCGGGCGAGCAGATTGTCCGAGTTGGCCGCTGAGCTTGGGCACGGTCCGGGGCGGGGAGTGGAGGATGTCACGTCGGGGGGATGGGCTGGCGTGGAGGCCTCATGGGCGATGGCGATGGCGGAGAATGGAACGGCTGACACGCTGGATGGTTCGCATTTGCCTTCCACCAAAGCCTTGCCCGATGCAGCTGGGGGGCCGGAAAGGACGGGATCTGGGGCCTCACTCCCTAACGGTCGGAACAAGGTGCCAGCCCGCGCGTGTACGTTGCGGTCAGCACAGCACCAGCAAGGCAACCCGGAAGTACCCTTGTTCTTCGTCATCCACAACTTGGACTGCCGGAGCATGTGGCCGCACAAGTCCGGGAGCGTCATGGTCGAGACGCTCGTGGAGCTGGTGAGTCGGCCCGACGTGCATTTCGTCGCCTCGGTGGACCATCTGAACGCACCTTTGTTGTTTTCGACCCAGCACCTGGAGGCCCTGAGTCTGGTCTGGCACGACGTAACGACACTGGCGCCGTATATGACGGAGCTCGCAGACCACACGCGGGAGCACCGCGGAGCCCTGTCCCTGGTGTCGGCGGGCGAAGGTCTCAAATACCTCTTGCAATGCGTGACAAGACGACATCTTGAACTCCTCCAATTATTGGCCACACGGCAATTGGAGGAGGAAAATGAGAAAGAGGCCCAAAGTCGCGTAGATGTCAAGCGAAGACGCAAGGAGGCGTCTGGTAGGGGAGGGCGAGGGCAGCTTGGTGATGGGCGTGCAAGCGGCGAGATGGACGGGGGAGCTGCAGGAGCCGCAGCCAGCGAAGGGGGAATAACATTCGAAGAATTAGCCGAGCAGTGCGCGGCTAAAATGATCTCACGCAGCCATGGAAATCTGCGTCAGCTCTTCGACGAATTGCTCGACCACCGTCTCTTGAAAAGCAAAGGCATGGGTACCAAGACTCGATACTGGATTCCACGCTCTTCGGCGGAATTGAAAATGATTGTCAATTATCGTGGCAAATAGCTTGAATAGAGCAAAATTAACATCCAATACAATATCACGAAGTCCTCTAGCACTGACAACATACATGTCTGTTGTGATATCATTCCGCCGGGGAAAAAGTCACTTCTTTCTTTACAGGCATCAATACTGTTCGCTGGTTCGATCCACATGACAATTTGAAATTGATCGCGTGCTGTGTAGTCTTTGTACAAATCTTATGATCCGGCCGATTACACCACATCCTTTCGACATTGCATATTTCGGGATGTGATGCTTCAGTAAACCGTTCAACATTTTCAACGTGAGGATGAGAAACGTATAGCTCACCTTAGATTTTGATTGGACTGCTGCTGTGCCGACGGTTGGAAGCAACCCGCGGGGGGCTCCCAGCAACGGACGGCCCCAGACTAGATCGCCGAACAGGAGACGTCGGGGCGGGCGCAGGCAGGTCGCCGCCTCCCGTTCGACGCATCAGGATCGGCCAATTCATCCACCAGGACACCAAATCGACCAGCACGGGGGTGAAGCGCATGGAGCGGAAACGCCCCTCTTCCAGAAATAAGCGGTGCGTCACTTGGAAAGCCAGTTGGTCCCAATGCCGCCAGGTGTGCGGACTCACCCAGTAGGAAAGACCGATCAGAGAGAGACCGCGAGTGACAGATCGTCGCATCAATCGCCGCATTTTTTGCTCATTCTGCTGTGCCAAGTTCTCCCTGTCGCTCTCATTACTCCCGTATACCCATCCGTTCATGCTTCTCCCATCTCTCATGTCCGCCTCGGTGGTGCCCGCGTGCGATCGGCCTGGCGCATCTCCCCCTTTACTTTTGTTTCCCTCGTCCTGCCTCCCTTCGCCTGCTGCCCCGCGATGCCGCCACCGCCAACGTGCTTGCTGCGGCGCCCGACAAAGCACCCGGTCCATCTCGTCTTCGTGCTTCATCAAATCCCCCAAGTGCCAGGCGCGCAAAATTCTCAGATTGGAACGCATGCGTCTGAGTTGCACGCGGGTTTGGTGCAGCAGGGCATCCGCGTCGTACATGCCTGCCTGTCTGATTCGGACCAATTGTGAGAGCTCGTGCAAATCGTCGCAGGCCAAGAGCTCCGCCTCCAATCCCCGCAAGAACGCCAGGGCGACGGCGAAGGTCACGTCCGAGCCTTCAGCCATGGAAATCTCCAGGATGCGCAGGGCCACCGGGGGAGGAAAGATGTTGATGAAATAGACCAGGAGCCAGTGCCCGGCCATCATTTCCAAATTCAGGTAGAGCGCGCTGCAGTGCTCGTACAGGGCCGGAAGCTCCGCTTTCAGCAACTCCCCCAAGGCCCGCATGTCGGCCCGCGTCCCCAGCAGGGGTGGGGAGAAGCAAAGGGGACTGACCTCTTCACAAACGTGCGCCAGGGTCCAGAACGCCGTCTCCTCGCTCACCGCCAGCAAAAGGAGGCCTGCGATGAAATTCATACCCTGGCAGTAGCCCACCGAGGGGTTTCGAAGTGCGTAAGCCCGCAGGACCCGGCGGAGCCTTGCCCTCCCCTCAGGCGTGTTGATGGCGGCATCCGAATCCGTGAAGGCCCTCCCCAAATCCAGCTCGATGTCTTGCGCTACCTTGGCGCCCCACGCCGCATCCAGCTCCGGCATGACCACATCCACCACCATCCCTCCCTTACCCCCCGCCCCCCGCCTTCCTACATAGCCCCCACCCGTGCCTGAACCGGCCCCACCTTCCCACCTGAGGCCTTCTCCTCCGTGCACGCCGGTGCCGCCCATCCCCACCCCAGCGTCCTCCCGCTCCCGCGTCACACACACCCAGGCCTCCTCCCCCTCCTCCCCCTCCTCTCCCCCGATCACACCCAGCCCTAGGTTCTCCTCCTCGCTGGCGGCCGCTAACGTGTGATAGTAGTTCACACCCAAAGCCTCCCGCTTGCAGGACGCGCCGCTCAACCACTCGTAGACCGGGTCTCTGAGGTCAGGGGGGATGCCCTGCCACACCAGACCCTTCAGGTCGCCCGGGCTCTGCACCCCCGGGCAGGGGCCGTAGCTCGTGCTAAGGCGTCTGCACCGGCGGTCCTGTGCCTGGACGTCACCTTGGAAGCGGCACTCCCCCGGGGAAGGTTGTGGCGGTCCGGTCAAAACAGGGGCCGACGAAGATGCGGAGCATGCCGACACGAAGGA